TTTTTGGGAGGTCTGCTGGAAGTTTTTCAGTGTGCAGTCTCAATTTGTTGCAAAAAAATACAGTATTTTTCCCTTTACTAAGCTACAGCATAGCCTAGCTGAACATGCATATTTTTTTACAGCCTATAGTAAATTGTTTTTCTTGCTACATTCTTGTCTTTCTGCCCTTTGCAATGTGAGTAATACTGGCATAGTTCACCCAGCATTCAAATTTAGTAGTCTGCATTTGGAGATGATGTTCAGGAGAAGGAAAATGTAAATAAAAGAGCTGACTCTGTGGGCTTAAACCTACTCAAGTCACACCACTTAGTCAGTTTAATAGAGTTTATAAAACAGATAGGAATGGCAAAACCTACTTAAACTTGTTCGGCCAAATACAAGTTTACATTTCTCACTGAATCATATTTTTATCAGCAGAAGATTTTTGTCAGAAATCAATATTCCCTGAGTGTGTCTCCACTCAATTTTCAAATCTTTAAGCTCAGAGGGGTGAGCCGCCAGCCTTACCAAAGTGAGTCTTTTATTTTTTTTTGAAGTATGCTGGAGAAAATGAATAATTTTTGACCCAGTCCAGTTTAAGCTTTGGCTTAGTCTGAAGTCCCTGTGAATCCAGTCCAGATCATCTTTCGGGAGCTGCTCATTTCAAGTGGAACAAAACCAGATCACGCTTGTACTGATATTACTTTACCTGCCTGATCTCTGATTTCACAGCAGGCCACAGGGTTCAGGTTTCTGTCTGCAATGACTGGGAAACCACCAGGCTCACACGAGCTCAGCTGGGGTTCTTCTGATGCAGATGGTTTCCCATCTTGCCCTGAGACGAGCTTATTTTGCACTAGACAATGATTAACATGTTAGATCTGAGCTCTGGGGTTTCAGTTTTCATTTCCTGTGCTGCACACACTGCACAGAACCAGTTGTAACGTGAGGTTTAGTCAATGGGAAACTCAGGAGGCAGATACTAAACTTCTAATTTGTGACAGGAGAGACAAGCACTTGACCTTTTATGTAGATTTTTTTAAAGACTGAAATAATTTCATAGGGTAAATAGTCAAATATGTAGGTTATAAGCTTGATTATTTCCACTAAAAATAAGCTGTTTCTGCCGTGTTCAGATCTGGTAATAATTGATAATGTGCATCCCCAGTTTTCAGAGATATTTTGGAATGTGAATTGGGACACAGGTTATAGTATTTTTTCATTTAACTTTATAATAATATATAATTTCTTTTCCTCCTTGTCCTTCTAGGTCTGGTTATTTTTTACATATTTCTAGTAGGTTTTTACGTTTTTCAGGTTTAATCCCTTGTTGTCTCAGCTATACAATAGTAAGATGCAAAAGCTGTGTAGGAGAGGAAAGGACAGAAAAGAAGGCAGGTTAACTTACTGCTTTTAAAACAGACTGTCTTCTAAGACACAAAGCCTTACACTGTTAAAAAAATACAAGTGTTCTGTACCATCCAGCACCTATTTTATTGACAAGAAACACCAAAGGGTATTTTGAGTAAATAAAATAAATAAATAAATAAAAATCCTTTGATGTTTAAAATAAAGTCTTCAGCCAAAAAAAGAAACTATTTTGCTTCTTGAAAAAGACACGTTGGTGTGAGAGGCAGTCACCTGCCCACTGCCCAAAACGCCTACAGTTTCCTAAAATAACAACAAAAGGTTTTCAGCACTGAAGCTCTTAAAGCACAGAGTGTCAAAACCAGAAAATATCACATGATTTACTCACTGCAGTGGGTAGTTACAACCATTCAGCATTTTAAAGGCTATGAAACAAAAAATATTAAAAGAAGACAACAGGCAGACGTTGGGTTTTACCAATTTTATTTCTAGACTTTAGTTTTTTTTTGTTGCTGGAAACTTGTCTGTTACAGGTCTGTCGGTGAAAATGTGCATTTCAGACCAGTGATGCCAATAAGTACAATATAAAAAAATGTACAAATCTGAATTGCTTTGCTTACTACAGATTGTTATAATAACGTGACAAATAAAGCATCTCTGCTGGCACGTGAACCCACTTAATCTGGATTTGGCCTTTTTTAAGTACATAGAATATTTTAAAAAGAAACTTGCAGTACACACTGCCACTCAGTGTAACAACATAATATAACCCACAACCACTAACTCAATAGTATCAGGTTTGGTTCAGAGACACAGAGATGCCACGAACAGAAGTGTTTTATGAGGTAAGCAGTAAGAAATGTTCCTGAAATTTGGACAGAATGTATCCAGTCCTCCTGGGTCCTGCGACTGCTAGTAGCATTGCAATGCTTTATTTATGCACTATGTAGGATCTTAACTGCATTTGCCTCAAGATGAGTTCTAATTCTGTTTTGGTTTAGCAGCATACAGGCAACAGCTAGATTATTCTTCAGCATACAACTCTGTTAGCTGGCTTATTTATGAGATTTACAGGCTTTTTAAATTAGCATTATGCTATAATTAAAAAAAAAAAACCAAAACGAAACAAACAAAAAAAAACCACCCTAGTATATCATAACAGATTAAACACACAAAATACTTAGAGTTCCAGAAGATAACCTATCATACCAAATGATGTGTCCCAGCCGAGGGGAAACCACATCAGGTGGCACACAAGAGTTATATTATAATGCACCTTTCATATATCAATGTGGCTAATAACACAGCTCAAAACTACTATGATAATAAACCCCAGATCAGACAAGGAATCCAGCTTTATAAAATGCATAACAAAACAAAACAAAACAAAACAAAAAAAAAAAACCACAACCCTTGACATGACTTGATCTTCTGAAATGTCTGCTGTTTCTTAAATTAATGCAACCTAGTTGCAAATCGCGAGACCCATTCGATGCATTTCCGTTTGCAGTAGAACTATGAGGCACTGTAGGAGCATTAAAAACCTGGTCTAGACACGGTTAAAAACTGAAGTATGAGGTATTGTGAAACAGGAACCTTTTTTTTTTTTTTGGAATAGAGCAGTAATCACATTAAGTAAAAATTGATCACATAAAAAAAAATCTACAAAAAAAAATGATGTCAATAATATAATTTTCTATGAGAAAATTAAAACCTATAACATGGCAGTATATGACATTGTATAACAAAAAAAAGAAAAACTGATCCACAAAATAGCAGCAAAACACAATGACAAAGATACAGAGAAGCAATGTTAATTTTTTTTTCAAACCATGCTGGGAATTTATCCATAGCAGCTCAATAAAGACGGAGCATCCACTCCTTTTCTTTTCTCTTTTTCTTTTTTTTTTTAAACTTTGAACTTTTTTTCTTTTTTCCTTTTTTTTTTGTTCCTTTTTTGTTTTTTGCTGTTTTGTTGTTTTTTTGTTTTTTTTTTTTACAATCAACACCTTAGCGGCAGTTTTCTCACATACAGTTCACCATCACATTCTCCTCGAGCATCAACTTCAACAGCTATGTCCACGTCCCTTCAGCTACTTTCTAAAATAATAATAAAAAGATACATAGCCAAGATGTGCAAATTTTCTATTTGTAGCTAAATTTAAAAAAAAAAAAAATGGGGCATATACTGGTATAAAAACTTCTTTCAAGTACTCCAATTTTCATATCTATTAACTATGGCGTTTTTTTTCATGGTTAGACTGCTTTTGAAAATGGAAAGGAAGGGGCCAAATGCACTGCTTGGTTTTGGGTTTGTTCTTTGAAGCGTGTCCTTTTTGCTTTAATAAGCTGTGTTAAAACTGCAACATCAAGGGTAGAAAGATTTCATTTTCTTTTTTTAAAACAAAAGGGGCGATTGCATTAATTTACAAATCATACTGGCCTTACGAACATCCTCTGCAATAAATATTCTTTTTAGCCTTAACTATAAATTATATATTTTAGTGTTTAAAAACCTTCAGTTGTAAAACATCTAGCGACAATCCTTAAACTACGTGTCCTATATGTGAACCTTTAAGGCCCCTAATTTATAAAGATGAGTTGGCACCAAAGGATTCTAAACTTCAGCTTTTCTATAGAAAAGGATAGGAAGATATCCTGGCAATTTGTGAATGCAATTTCTCTCACTGGAACACAACCTTCGGAAAAGAAAATCACTTCTCCTCTAACACCATAGTTAAATGCACTTGCTTTGCAATTCCAAGTTTGCAACAAGCACTTTATATATTTCCAAACCATTCCATTAAAAAAAAAAAATAAAATTCCCACACAATAAAAGAATGTAATTCCTATATCTAATGGACTGAAAGTGCTTTGAATGGAATGGTTTTAGAATATTACAGACAAACAAAAAAAAAAAAAAAAGACTGAACTGTGGATTGAACCTGACCATAATTAGGCTGAATATCTGTGGGGTCAGACCAGCATTTTTACACAGGTAACTACAAAAATAGGAAGATTACAAAAATATAATATATTATGTCACTATTTCGGTTTCTCTTTATAATAGGGTACTGTGTGAGTAGTACATTGGCCTTTCCCAACAATGCTCAGCTGGAACCCTACAAATGCCTTATGCACAGGCAATCCACAGGCACAAAAAAAAAAGATTAACATATAATAATGCTGCATACTAACATAGACTAACTTATGGGTTACGTTAACCATTTATAAGGTGAAGAGGATAAAAAAAACCTAAAGAAATAAAATAAACATTTACAGATGAATTATAAAGTGACTAAATGCATAAGCAAGCAAGATACAGAAAAGCCTAGAACTGCGTTAAAGCTATGCTTTTTAAAGAAAAAGAATATTTCATTTACTATCTAAAAAAAAAAAATAACCCTCTTCTACTTTAAAAATGGTTGGTTGGTTTGTTTTATATGTAAGAAATCAAATCTAATACCTCCCCTGGAGACATTTTGTGTGTTAATGCCTATTTTTACAACATACAGACAAGAACACTTTAATATAAAAACTAGTTGATTATTATTGTATAAAATCCTCTATTTTTGTAGCACAAACCCCTGGGGGTAATGCAAATACTATTTTTTCTTTTTTTTAAGACAGTTTTTGGGGTACTTTTTGTTTTATTTGTTTGTTTGAAGTCACAGATGGAAGGGAGACAGAGCAAGAAAAAAATATAACAAGAACTGGTTTTCCCTTCTGGTATAAAAATGTCCTGGAGAAAAGGGTTTCTGGGGGGGAGATCCTGACGCCGATTCCTTCTCAGATGCCCTTTCTTTTGTCTGCTTTTCTTGCCAAGCAAATCCATTAGAAGAAGAAGAAGTCCTCTTAAATGTTCACATCTCGCACATCAGTGGGTGTGCAGGAAAGATCTGCTTCGTCCTCTACAGTCTTTGTTTCTGAAGATACGTTGTGCTGCTGTGCCTGACGTAGACTGGATTCAAGGAGGGATTCAATCTGTTCTTGGCAGGCTCGTAAACAATCCTAGAGGAGGTTGAATGGAAGGAGAGAAAGACCCAAGAGTCCTTTAGAAACACAGTAAGGTCACAGACTTAAACAGCATTTCTTGAGAAAAAGGCGAGAGGAATCTACTCAGGTTATCTGGGAGAGCTGCAGGCCCAGAGGAGGGTGGGAAGAGCAGGAGAAACACCAAACAGTGAAAGGATTGGACGAGCCACCCAATTTCCTGCAGGATGCCAGCCTGGACTGAGGCTTCAGCAACTGGCTCTTGCCATGTGCTGTGGATGGAATGGCCATGGGGAGCATCCCCATGGACACACCATCACTGGTTGTTCAGGCTCAGTCCACAGAGCTGGATGTGGTGGATGCCCCACTACACTGACACGTGTTTCAACTGAGCTGGGCAGGACCAGAGGAAGATGTTGGACCTTTTCTGCCTGTTCTCTAAAGGTCCATTGGTCCTAAAACTGTGCTTTCTGCCAGAAATGCTTTGGCAGTGCAGTCTACTAGAAATGATGGTCATAAGCGGTGATTATTTTCTCAGGCTAAGTTCCAGGGATATGAAGTTCTTAGATAGAAGCGCCATATATATATTTGGATATACGTGCCCAGAGGTTCCTGCCAGCTGCTGCTGTGTCCAGCAGTGGGCAGCTCAACTTGGCTGATCCTTTCCTAGCTCTGAAAGCATCTGTACATCCAGAACAAGGTACTGGGCTGCGTCACCCCAAAATGGAGAGATCTTTCAGGAGCACCACTAAACTCCTCCATAACCTTTCATTCCCAGCTGCAGCCAAGCCTTCTGTTGGCTACCATGTTCACCTTGACATCTCAGACATCTTTTTTCCCCTCGCTTCCAAAGCATTTTCTCAGAGCTGGATATGCACAACAATCCTCCTGAGCCTTCAGGAGGGTGCAAGGGCCTCGCTGCTCTCACAGACTTCGCTGTGAATTAAAAGCACAAAGCACCAAGGAGGATCATGTCTACGGTGGGGAAAGGTAACTTCCCCCAGGCATTAAACCATTCCATGAGTAGTTATATCTAAATCACAGCAATTAGAACTGGAGAAGGCCCAGCCAGTCCAACTTTCTGCAAGCTATGGAGCCATGTACATCCATTGGAACGACACAGGAACGGTGCCTTACGCAGGCAAAACAATCCCACAACGTTTTGCCAAAACTCCCCCAGCCAGCTGTTTACTCATATCTTTGTAACAAACATCGCAGGCTTTTTCCCCCCAACATATTTAACTCTGTGTATTAAGGACTTTTGAAGTTTCCTTTCAGCATTGCCTTTTCTGATTTAACCTATGACATGTGTTAGCCCTGGCGGTGAACCCAGTCTTCCATGATAAATTGCCGTCAAAAGTGTTAGGATGTGCATGACTGAGAATGAATGTTGTTTTCCTGAGAGGGTGACCTGCCTGCTGTTTTCTTTATTTCCCAGTTTCAATTCTGCCTTCATTCAGAGGCTTCTTGTGTGATCTACCAGCTTTTCACTGATTCCACTACCACAAGAATCTCCTCTGCCACCAATAAGGGCACATGGCATTTGGGGTAAAATAAGATTAGAAACCCAAGCAAACAATTCTCTGCAAGTCCTTTCTGAGAGAGAGGGAGGTTAATCCTACCTCTAAGCAGATCAGACCATCAGTTACAGCTCACTGAAAACACATAACCTATGACCTTTCCTGGTTTAAACCCTAGTGTAATATTTCCTCTTGACAGAGACACACAGCGTTTTAAATGACAAAAAGAAACGCCTCATATCCTAAAGTCATCATGCCTTTGGCTCCTGCATACCTCTGGCCTCCACAATAAGGTCTCTATGAAGTCCTTTTTCACCCTCTCCTCCAGATATGATGGATCAATCCTGACTGTAAAACCTTGTCCTGTACCACGTCCCCTCAGTCACACTTGGAATTAGATGTGTTAAAGAGGAGCACACCAATACAGGTTTTTAGGTCTTTCTGGTTTTACAAATCCAGGCACTTCTGAGGATAATTCTGTTTTAACAAGGTGGCATGTTCAGCTTTCCAAACTGAAAGGAAATTTATGTTCAGAGCAAAATGAACCCTTTTGGGTTTGGGGTGGGTTTTTTTTTTCTTTTTTTTGGTGGGGGGAGTGGATTGTCTGGTGAGTTTTGATGGGAATTTTGTCCTGTGTTTTGTTTTTTTTTTAATCCTAACCATTTGCATAGAGCGTGTTTGAGCTCTGAAAACTAAAACCATTCAAAAGAATTTCTATAAATACCTATTCTTCTCCCTCTGGAGTCCAGTTATGAATAGTTGCATAGGACTATGTAATTTAAAGGTACTTTTTGACCACAGAATTTTTTTTCCTTTGAAATTCTCAAGAGTGCAGCATGTCGTAACTGTATTTTTTTTTAAACCTAATCTTTACAATTTATTACAAACAGACTGTTTGAAGCTACAGTTGAATGAGAACTATTTTTTAAATGTTTTAGGCATTTTGTTCATTTCTTATTCACATGACCGTTAGATAAATAGTTTGCCTGCAGGAATGCATTAGAGCTAGCAAAAATATCTGCAAAATATAAAATTCGGTATGACTGAAAAGCAAATACAGAACTTGTGCATTACTGTGATAACTTCTCCCAACAACTTTTCTGCTTCACTACCCAAATTTTCAATGCCCACAGTTTGTTCAAGGTCATAAACCCTTCCTGGATTAATTAAGCTCCTCAGTGAAAAAAAAAAAACCAAAAAACAACAAACTTGCTGGCTTAACTGATGTGGTGAAATACCTTCAAGACACAGTAGACATGATCAGACTCCGGGGTCAGATGGTAAAGGAAACAAACAACAACAACAAAAAAAGAAACTGCTTGGAAATCCTTTGTTACTGCCTGACCCGTCCTGGATAACGAGCACATGTTTGAAGGTGCCTCTGAGAAGGGGCAGGCAGGAGACGAATTCCAATGTACTAACAGACAGCTTGGAGACCCAATCTAATCTAGTTTAGTGAATTTCTGGCCTGGAAATGAATGTCAGGTAAAATTCCATCCGTTCGGATGATGGGGTCAAGAATAGAATGATGGAAGACAGCCCAAGACTTCTAATTGTGATTATCTGGCTTCTAATTACCCCTGATCAAAGGCAAAATGGGAAATTGGACTCCTACCAACGTAAACATGAACCATAAAGGAATTCCAATCAGGTGATATTCATTTTACTTTAGATTCAGCTTTCCCTGAGACTAAAGGTAAAAAAGTGTAATTATGTAACCTGAAATGCAACAGATCTGCTGCTCCAGCTGACAGATAATCAGGATCTTAATATTTCAAGGCAATCCAATATAAAGCATGTTCACTTATGAAGCCTGACGAGGGGAACCATCACTGGGGAACAGCACAGTTCATACACATGCTACTGAAACAGGGCAATAGGAATGGCATTTGATACCATGGATTGCACAGATAATGGGAAAGTCTCTCTGCAGGGGAATCATGTTGGGTATGAAACCACCAGGTTTCTCTGCTCAGAGCAACTGCAGTGAAAGTTGCTGTTCCCTTGTTCCATTACAACAGTACATGTACACACACATATAATTTTATGATGCTAATTTTCCGTAGCATCCCATATAAAAATCCTTACTCCTACCTCTAACTGCTCTAACACATGCATATATTTAGCACTGAAAGCTGGAGGGGAGTTACTTCCTTTTAAAGCTGTTAACTGAGCTCAGGTCAGACTGCGGCCTTGCACTGGCTGTGGACAATAAAAAATGAAATAAGCAAAAAATTCTCTTTCTTGCTAAAACAACCCTTGTTTTCTTTTTAAAGAGCTCTTGTCATCAGCTAAGTCAAGTCACATAAGGACGTGCTGTTGTTCTCCAAGATGCGAGAGAATCTACTTCGATGCTCTGTATCGGGAATGATTAAACAACAGTGTTTGATCAAAATACTGTCTGAACAGACAGCAGTCCTAGTATTTTCCCTCGGTACCTGCTTCAAACATCTCACACTGGACGGTGGCCAACCATACACTGAAATATCTGCATTGTTCACTAACAGCATTGCACGTACATACCAAACTGAGCAGCGCGTTATTTCAGCATTTCAAGTTCTCAGAGTATTTCACATTTCAGCACTAATGTATTACTGCCTCAGCCACAGTAATACAAATGACAAAAATAACATGCTCAATGCCAAGGCACTGTTCAGGTGATCAAAATGATAAGCTGAGAAATATTATTTTTCAGCAATTGTTTCACATAGCCTATCAAAGGTAAAATAATTCTTTTGTGAGTATTCAGTTATGATGCATTCATCTTTCCAGAAATCACTCAGTCCTGCCAACAGAGTCCCGTTATACTAACCTAGTTTTGCAGTGGCTGGACTGGTACAGTTCTCTATGCATTTAAAATTATTAACATGTAAAATAATTGAACAGCATCTCAAAGATTCTGCTGCTAACCACAGAGTTGTCTTTATTTGACTCATTGTCCAGCGCTTGGAGACCTCACAAGAACCTTTTTAAAGCATCTATTTATTGGTCTTCCACATTGTTACAAAACAAAGCTCAACTCTGCCCCAACTTCACACACCATTATGACATGGATCATTGACTTTAGGTCTTCCTTGTAGGCTCCCTTCCTGGCCCATTCACTCATGAAAGGTTTATTGCTCACTAGTTACTGATGTGCATCTCCTGGAAGCTGCAGGGCAAAATGAGAGTCCTGTGAGGACCATCTACCTTGTCAGAAAGTCGTGGGACGAGCATTTGTTCCAAAAAGGAATTCAATACCAGCTACTGTGCAGGTCTAGCACAGTAATAAACCAAATTAGATCATTAGAACTCTTTTAAGAAGGGCTTTTTCACACCACTTGGCACAATAAAAGGCCTCGAGAATGGTCAAAGATAAGGTCAGAGATACCACGAGGTCTCAGTAACTATTTCCTCGTCTTATTCTCCAAGTTTTGTTTTACACAGACTCCTGGTTTAATTACCCACAGCCAAACAGCCCCTGCAAGGTCCGAAATGGATGCAGGGCTTTGTCAGGTAACACCTCTCTCACACACATTAGAGCTGGATGTGGCACTGCAGCAGCGTAATCACAGATTATTAATGGATATAATGACAGCCAAATAACCAGGATGGACACAAGAGAACACATTCAAAAACCCCACTCTGTGGTTTGACTTTCATCAAGATTTACTGTCAGATTAGCTACTATGCAGCAGCGAGCGGGGGTTCATTCTTAAAAAACAGGAGATCAACCAAGAGAAAGAGTCACTTACCGGATCACATTTGATAACTTGTGATAGGAAATGTGTGAGGCATTGATAGGAGAGGAAAGTGTTAGTGTTCCCCAGATGCAGGCCTTGCACAGCTGCTACCACACTGCCAGCTGCGATCATGGAAGGTGGGTTTGAAATAAATTTAATATCTGTATGAAGAAAGGAGAGAAAACAAAAAAAAAAGAGAAAAAAAAAAAGACTGAAATGATTGCTTTAGGAGAAGCCTGTCCATACACATACACTCTTCTACCAGCATGGCTTCAGCTGCCAACAACTATTGCATCCCAAAAGGCAAGGAAAACTGGGAGCAGAAAGGTGCCTCCTGCTCCCAACTGTTACAGGTCTGAACCTGTAAACACTTATCCACATGAGCAACTGTAGTGCAGTGAGTAGCCCTTCCTAGCACTCCCCCTGGGAGGCCATTCATCACTTGGAGGTATTTTTATCATAAGCAGGGCCCCCATTCTTCAAATGTTAAAATGCTTTGCTCATGTGGATAATGCCACTGGGGTCAATGGCACTATCCATCTGAGAAACCCTGTTCCCGTTGGGAAGCGTTTCGCGGGATCAGACCCGAGGTGCACGCTCATAATGAGTCCTCGGGCCCTTTAAAGCAGAAACCTTTGCACTGACATTCAAAGGAATATTGCTTTAATGAACAACAACATCAACAAAAAGAAAGAGAAGAGAAAGACTGCTTAACCCTGTCAGGAGGCAGATAATCCATATTTAAATTACAGTTTCATCTTAAAAATGCTTTGTCTCAACCTAGTCTCTTGTCAGTGGCTGCCATCCATCCTGGCAACAGGGATTTAATGTAAATGTGGCATAACTAAGTGACGGGGGTCCCAAGAATTGGCGGACAATCAGTTACATTCTGATGTGACACCATGCTGACAAGAGGCTGGGCCCCCTTCCAGACTGCATTGCTGTAGGTCTCTCCACAAAGCCACTCCCATGATTCCTTAAGGGGCTATCTCTGCCATTTAGCATGTTTTTCGTTTTGTTGTTTTGTTTTGAGGGTGGTTTGTTTTGTTTGGGTTTTTTAAATAATAATAATAATAATAATAATAACCCCCATTTTAATGCTAAGACTCTGTTGAGCAGGAATGTGTTTGATCTGTGGCAGTGCACACCTTGGGAGGAGAACCAGAAACAAAGGAAGTAAGTGGCACAAGTAAATGTCCAATTTTGTGAGGGAGTAAGGGAAATGCCACATTGTACACCAGAACCTGAGATACATTCCTTCAGCTTTTGTCAGAATACAACTTCCTCTGGGCTGAAAAAATATAAACCATCTGTCAAACCCTTGAATGAAATCAAAGGCATGGACAGCTTAGAGGGCTCACTGGAACAGTTTAAGTATTAAATCATGCATCTCCTTTATTATGATAAAATAACTTTTGTGTCAATGTTTTACCAGTGAAACTAAAGACTTCAGGACTCCATGAAAGTCCTGGCTCTGAGTCTATTCAGACACCTCTGGCACTCCATTGTGGCCCTGACCAATACCCACCTTCAAAGGGGCAATTTCGCCCAGCGCTCTACGAACCTCCAAAATTACAACTGCCAGACTTTTGTGCTGCAGTGCCAGGGAAAAGGCAAGCTCGACCTAAAGTCATCTCATTTGTGTTACTGCGCTTGAGATAAATTTAGTTTATCCCTTTTTCCTAATCTGCCCATTTCCGGGCAGGTATAAACACACCCAGCTTCTGGCAAGCTGCTGTCATTCCCAAAAACCAGAGCAGACCAGGCTGCTTAGTGACAACTGTACACATTCCAAAGGCAGTCCCTAACTGGAATACTGACACACAGCTGCAGGTAGACTTCAGAAATGGGGCATTTCAGTAGGCAAGCATGAATCCCACCAAGATGGGGTTGCAGCACGTTCACGACAGTATTTACCGAGCTCCACAAACAGAACATGACCAAAATGTGTCAGTTGAATGAGTTCTGTCCTGACAGGACCACGTTTGGGATTAATATTTGCGTTCTTCTTTTACATGGAGCAGTAAACAAGAACATGAATTCATAGTCACACCCTCATTCTTTCCAAGGTGGAAAAGTGATAATGAAGTTTAAATGACCAGTTTGTGTCTGTCCCTATAACCACTCCAGACAAGCAGCATGGACTGCCTTTTTGTTGCAACTCAACAAGGAATTATTTGTGGCAGAGGCCACTAATTTCAGCATATTAATCAGGGGGCCCCTCTCGCCTGTAATTGGATGCCCCCAAGTGAAGAGTGTGGCATCATTGTCAGCCTCCATCGCCTCATCTTGCGCTATTGAGCGCTCAGGAACAAGGGGGCTTCGGTGAGATGAATTAGACCTGACACAGCCACAATGGGGTAGGGGGCCCCATCAATTGAAGCACACATCCCCAGTAGCCTATCTGAGACTTCATCCAAAAAGAATAAACAACTTCAGCGTTGTTAAAAAGAGAGAGAGAGAGAGAGAGGAGGGGGAGGAGAGAGAAGAATGCCAGCCACCCTGAAGGGAGGACAAAGCAGGCATATAGGCGCTGCAGCGCTTTAAAAAAAATTCCTAACAAGGCGAGTCACCCCTTTTCCTTTTTAAATGGAGCAGCAATTCCATCCGTCTGGAGAGCTGGGGGCTATGAATGAAAATCTTTTCATTGAGGCAAATCAAAACTGCGAACATAAATCACTTGCTGCAAGATGCAACAGGTTCCAACTGGTCACATACCTTGAGACTTCCAATTTTATAAAGGCCAGAGAATAGGAGGATTGTAACGCGCTTGTTTCAAAGGGGGGACCTTTCTTTCTCCGTCAGAGAGGAGCGAAGCAACGACAATAATAATGGCAATAATAATAATAATAATAATAATAAAGGGGAGCCTGGTATGTTTTGATAACCAGAGGAACATAATGAAATGCTGAAACTCCAATATTTGTTGCTATTCATTGTTATGCTTGTATAGAGCTGCAGTGCTCCCTCAACACTGGTCTTAACTTGGGCCAAAAGAGGCCTGCTTCCTTTTGAGCTCTCCCTGCCTTGCTCGGCCATGCCAAAGCCCCATTCATTAAGCTCAATTATGTGTTAACTTCAAACAACCCCTGGTAATTTTTTTCTTTTTTATTTCTTTTTTTTTTTTCTTTTTCTCCCTAACCTACCACAGCACAAAGACATCCTTTGGTGAAAATGGATTTTTCAAAACCAAACCAAATCAAACAAATCCACTTCTACTAGCCAGACAACTGAAGAGGGAGCTTAAAAGGAATTCCCCTCAACTTCACCTTGCAGCGTAACCTTCTTTTTCTGGAGCAAACACATACAGCACTCATCTGCAAATACTTCCACAGCCTTCACCTTGTTAAGCCAACTGGCCAAGGCTTTATTTTCTAAGCAAGCATTGTTCTTCTTCTTAGGAGAACCTCCTTTACAGAAGAGGACACAGGCAAAGGATAGACTTGCACTTGCCCCTGAGGCCACTTAAGCGAGTGTCAGTGTTTCCAGTGGACTTTGGATTGGGCCCCACAGCATCCAGGCAGCACAACACGTTTGCAGTCCATCTCGGTTCATTTTGGCAAGGGGAAACACAACACAACCCAGCAACAGCAAAGCAAAGTCCAGATGCTGCTTAAGCCACATGTGATCTTCACTAGCCAACAAAGAAGGCATGAGGAAAGCAAAAAGGTAAGAGGAATTCCTGACATCCAAAAATAACAGTTAAAACCACAGAGCCTAGTGGCAGCCTTCCTGAGCGCTGCTTCCCCAGGCAATACTCCCAGCTTCAGTAGGGAGCTGAAGAGGGCCCCAACTCTGGTGAGCTCAGCACTGGGGTTTTTTTTGTAAAAAGCTAAGTAAAACTCCCAGAACATGGTTCTCATTTACTGATCCATTCTCCAGCTGTGGTGTGTAGCAATGTTAAATAAGGGCTCTGGATGTGCTTCCTAAAAGAAACATAACAACACCGACAGTAGATCAAAGTACTGGACTCTTAGCGAGTCTCCAACCTTTGAACTACCCTTGTTTTCATCCCTGTCATTGCCAACACAACAACCTAGGTTAAACATCCCCATATCCAAAGGGGAGGCCAGGTAGCTGCTCCTTTTAGCTAAAGGCCGAGGAAGCTTCACACTTAGCAAATCACACGTTCAGAGTCGCTGCAGCCTTATCTGGCAGGACCCGGCAGAGTTACATTTGAGAGTTACATGGAGAGTTACAATTGATTTTCCCAAAATGCTGCTGCCTGTGGTTTGAAGGCTGTTTGGAGGTTGCGGTGCTCCTAACACCGAGCATTATTCCAGGCAATCTAACCTGTTATGCCGATGTTAGGGCCAAGATGAAGAGCAATGCCAGCGTTTATAAATTTCTCTTTTATGGCTTGGTCTTTTTATCTTTAGGCCTTGCAGTAAGGGCCGACTCCATGAAATAAATTTTGGTGGGTTTTGTTTTGGGGTTTTTTGTTGATTTTTTTTTCCTTCTGAGTGCCTACAATCATTCTTTCATCTTTTCATGCAAAGAAACTACGCGACGTTAATTTGCGCCACTGGCCACGCGCACGCGTCTCCCACCGAGGTTTTCCCAGAGTGTGGATACCACTAACTCGGCATCTCTGGAGGCCCGGCCCTGCTCATGGCTCCAGCACAGCACGTGGTCAGGAGGGTGCAGATGGCAGCGGCTCGGTCCCGTGCCAGGAAAGCCTCTGTGCCGCGTGGCCCTCCTCCAATCCACCAGCCACCGAGGAGGGGGAGGAAGAGGCAACTTGAAGAGGGAAGTTTTAAAACCCCCCGCGCAGAGCTATTCACAGGCAAAAATCTCCCTGCCCGCCTTTAAAAACTGTCTCAAGAATGAATCCACACGCGGGGAGGGATTCCCCCGTAAGCCTTTTGCAGCCCCCGCATCAACCCGGTGCGTGCGGAGGGCGAAGAAATCCTGCCACGCTGAGCTGCGGCTCCACAGAGAGGGGGCCGGGGAGGGGGGGGTCCTTCTCCCTCCCTGACAACAAGCACAAACTCCAAAAGCTCAGAAGGCGAAATATCTTCTGGAACAACAACAACAAAAAAAAACTTACCTCTGGCAAAGTAAATCCACCTTCTGCAAACAAGGGGCAATAATCGGGGCTTAAACTACCTCCCCGCAGCTCTGGCGAGCGCGCCTTAGACCACGGCTACGGGAAGCTTTACAAGGCGGGGGGTGGGCGCGGGTCGGGGAAGCAAAACACACTTTGCGGGACGTGCAGGGCTCATACCTGTAGCGCACAGAGCCACAAAAGTCTGAGCATGTTTACGGATGATCTGCTTGGTGTCCTCTGCCAGAGGCATTTTAGTGAGGAAATGTTCAATGAAATCGTGGGGGGTCATTGCGGCCAGATTCCATTTCAGCTTATTCACCAGCAGCAGCTCCATTTGCTGCAAAGAGAAAGAGGGAGGGGAAAAGGGGAGGGGGGGGAAGGGAAGGAGAGAAGAGGAAGGGGAAGAAGAGGGGGAGAGCGTGGTTAGAGAGCCGCTCGCACACGGGCGCACCGCGGCGGGGCCGGGCGGCTCCCGGCCGGGCTTGGGAGGGCAGAGCTTTCCCCGGGGGAAGAAGGAAAGCGGGATGCGGGTGTTTTTTGGGGGGTCCCCCCAGGCGGGGCCGGGGGCTTCGGGCCGCTGCACCCCCGAGCGGGGCCACCAGGGGGAGCCCGCGGGCCGCCCACGGGGCCGGGGGAGCGCGGGGGGGTCCCGGTCCCTATCCCGGCCCCATCCCTGTCCCGCTCCCTATCCCAGCCCTCCCGAGCCTCCGCGGCGGCCACACCGCCAGCAGCGGGGCTTCCGAATACACCGTCTTGGCCTGTGTGGTTGTGTTCTTTCTTTTCCTTTTTTTTTTTTTTTGTTCTTTTTTAATGTTTGTTTCGATTTTGGTGAGGTTTTTTTGGTTTGTTTTTTTTTTTTTATTATTCTTGAAGTGACTAAACGTGAAATTACCAGTAATTCGTCGGGTCTAATGGAGTTATCTGTATAAATGCACAGTTTTTCTGCGGTCAGAGGAATAGTCTCCTTCATTTTTGAAGCCACAAACATGCAGGTAGCTCCGAGCAGTTGCAACCGGCTTTTCTTGAGGGGTTCAAACGACAAAAATCTGTCCAAGTAATTCATAGCCAAGGGGAAAACTTCCTCTTCGCACTTTTGCTCCTCGCAAACCTGAAAGAAGGAGAGAGATCGTTGAAGAATAATTTAATAGAGGCGAAAGCCAGGCTTGTCCCGCTGCCCTCGCCCTCCCTCCTCCCTCACCCTCAGGCTTTGCAGGGCAAGGTTGAAGGAGACGAGGGGAAAATGCAGAGGGGGGAAAATGGATAAATATGGGAAAACCAGCGGCATCAAAGAAAATGAAAGTCACGAGTGACAAAGTGGGGGGAAATGTTGCGTTAGAAACCCGCAGGCGATTCATGGCAAAAAAGGAGGGGGGGTAATCGAAGAGGAGGTCTGTGCCCAGTTTTCCAGCCCCTAGAAATAATTTTTAAAAAGGAAAGAAAACGGAAAGCGGAGGAAAATGCAAACCCCCGTGGTTGGGAACGGGGTGCAGAGCTGGGCTTGGCCCTGGATTTATTTATTTCGCTTTTATTTTTTCATCTAATTTGCCGTTGTGCTGCCGATTCCCCTCTCTGGTCGAGACACAAAGGTGGCGTCCAGCCTCATTTCCCCAGACGTCATCTTTTCAAAAAATATTTAAAAATATTTAAAAAATTATTTGAGCTCTCAAAAAAGGCTGAAAATGAAGCGGCGGGGGTCCTTTACCGAGCCCCGTTCCTCTGGTCCTGCTGGGGGGCTCCAGGGGGGTCCCCCGAAGTGAAATTCACCGCCTCCCTCTCTCGCCCTGCAGCACAGCCGGGCGCGACATTTCCCAGAGCAAGGCAGGGCGCTGCGCTTTCAAAAATTAATTAAAAATACATCGCGGGGGCCCAGGGCTTCCGAAAAGGCACGAAAATGTAGCCCAGCTCCTGGGGCTCCCGCTGGGAGCCCCCCCAGACGTGTCCCGCCAGGGACGAGGCCCTTTCCAACTGGCTTTTCCCAGGCGACCTTGCCGCTCGCCGCCGCAGCACAAGCGTGCCTTTGAGGGGTGACCGCAGCTCCAGCCTCTCTTCGCGCTGAACAAAGAAACTTTCACCCTGCAACTCCCCCCAGAAACGCCGGAGCCCCTCCGGCCGGTCCCCCTGCCCGCAGCCCCAGCGGGGTCCCCCGGCCCCCCGACCTTCCTCCCGCGGCCCCTTCCCCCGCTCCCCCCCGCCACACACACACACACCCTTGGCTTTGCTCCCCGGGACTTTCTTCGTTTTTTCTCCCGATTAATAAACACTTTTGCTTTGCAAATAAAAGAACAAAGATGGCGCATAATACTGGCACGGGCAGCCGCTTGCATACGTGTACAAGGATATTAATTTAAAATAAAAAAACCCCCCAGAACACACGGGCTGGCAGGGGCGGGCGCCGCCGGGGGCTGCGGGGCCGGGGCCGCTCCCCGGCGGGCCGGGGGAGCCCCGAGCCGGCTCTGCCCGGAGCTCCCCGCAGCCGGGACCGCCGTGCCCCGACGGCCGGGAAAGGTGCCGGGGCACCCCCAGACCCCCGAGGGCACCGGCAGGGTTGGGGTGGGGGGGGGGGGGGGTGTTCCGTGTCCGGCGGCGGCAGGGGGGACATGGGACCGGCGACAGCGGCGGCGGCGACCGTGTCCTCGGGCCGCTTCCCCCCGGTACACGCGGGCGTTTTCGAGGGCAAGACAACGTGTGCCCGCGCCGGGGAACCGATCCCAGGGGACGGGATGGGGGCCGGGGAAGGGGGGCGGCAGGAGATGGGGGAGCAGCTCCCCGGATTAATTCGTTTCGGTGCCGAAGCTTTGCAAAGGGAAAATCCCCCGAAAAGATACGAACCTCCAGCATCCAAGTGGCAACTATTTTCCTCATATATGGCAAGATTTCTTTCTGCACGCACTTGAAGTAGGAGACGGAGGGCGAGCAGGTCTCCTCCGCCTTGAGCATTGTCTGCAGCACCCTGTCATTGAGGAGGTTGGCATCCAGGTAGGCTCGTCGGATGGTCTCCACCTCGCAGCACAGCAGCTGATGTTCCATGTCTGCCTCCGTCGCCTCGAGTCAGTTCTCTGCAGCAGGACTGAGTCAGTCGCTCGCTCGCTCTCTCTCTTCCCCTTCCAGGAGTCCCTTGGATGCTGCTTCTGCTACTGCCGCTACAGCCCTCTGGAGGCTGCAAAACTTTCTAACTTCCAACAAAACTCTCCTGTATAGTCCCTGTGACGTTACTGTTGTTAAGCAGAGATCAAAGCACGAGAGAGAATGAGAAAGAGAGAGAGAGAGAGCCAAAAGCAAGGGGCAGAGCCCTAAAGCCATCCCATAGGCTTCAAGTCCTTCCCCTTTGCCTAGCTTATAGAGAGCCGGGGTTTAATGCAAATGAGACAAGGGCTCGCTTTCTTCAAGGGCAAGGGAGAGGTGGGGGAAACCCAAATTGTCTCTTCAGTGGATCATGCATAATTTTAAAAATGGAGCGAGTTCTGCACTGGGAGCCAAATGATGAATGGGGCTAAGGCCACACACAGACACCAGGGAGGGAAATACAAGGAGACTCGGTATTATTTTACGGGGGCGCCGGGGAGGGGAGCGGAGCAGTTACCAGTGCGTTGCTGTTCGTTATAAATTTATTAGTATTATTATTGCTGTCACCGATGTGTACCTGCCATATCTGTCCTTTGAAAAGACACGCTCCCAACCTGAATGCCTACTCTTTGTAGTTGATCCCAAAGGGAAAAGCTTACCCCCGTTTCCTCACTCCTATTTTTTTCCCAGCCTGGACGGTTTTGCTGCGCACCAAAATCTTTAAAGGACTGGGGTGCCCACTCCTCTGCCAGGACGGTTCTTTTTCTAATATTCCATAATTTGCTTAATTTTTTTTTTTAATTATTAACGTATTTCCTTTCACTTTAAAGGTTTCACCCTCCTGAAGGGGCACGGAGGTGGCAGGGGACAGGGCAAGGAGAGCCGATCCGGCGGCAGCGCACGCGGGGAAGGCCGCGCTCGGCACCCAACCCCCACAGCTCACAGCCACCCAGAAATAAAATATCCCAGCAGAGCAGCAAAATGGTGGCCAGGGCTTCCTCCAGCACCTACAGGCAGATGAACTGGGGGGGGGGTTGGAGGGAGGGAGGTGCCGGCAGCCGCCGGAGCCTGCTGGGGCCTCATCCGACGCGCCGCGTCGCCAGGACAGCCTGTCCACGCGTGATGTGGCCCCGCCGTAAATAACTCCCGTTCCCCGGCCCAGCTGCCCGTACCTGAAAACGCTCTGCTTTGCCTTTTCTATTAAAAAATAGTACCCTTTAAACTCTCACTTTTTGAGGGGCTGACAGGGGAGCTCGAGGCCCGCTGGAGAGCGCCGGAGGTGAAGCCAATGCATGGGAGAAATGACTTGTCCTGCACTGAAGCGGAGTGGGGAGAAGTGGGAAGGCCATAAATTGGGATTCACGCCACCGTTCTGCTGCCTGCCCCTCAAAACCGGAGCGCTGGGATTAACCTCAGCCTTGGTGCTTTAGCATCACCCAGGTGCTGCACCGATAGCTGGAACACCTTCTGGTGGCACCACGCTCAGGGCAGCATCGCCAGCCAGTGTCAGGGCAGCAGAAGGGGCTTCTGGCCATAGAGGACACGCCGTGGAGGACATGCTGTGGGAGGACATGCCATGGAGTCACACAGCATCTCTCCTGCCTGACCTGCAGGGAAAGCAGTGCCAAAGATCACAGGGCATGTTGTTGCACAGTTGGGTGTTTACATAATCTCTGTGCACGGACTGTCTGCCCATCTTTTCTAGTTTACTCGTTTGCTTGACCATTTGTCTCCATTTTGTCTTCGTCTGTTAGGAGGAGGAGGATGTCGGAGGCCCCACGATCTCAGTTCCCCTTGCATGCCACAGCCCCTGGGGCGACCCGGAGGGTTCCTCGGCGAGGAGGCCGTGCCCTGTCCCTCCGCCTGTCCTATTGTGCTTCACGCCCAGGACGTGCACTTCTGTTTTCACAACTTCAGCCGGCGGGGCAAGGTTTCAATTTTTAACGGAGAAACACGCCACGACCCTGCACTCTCGGGCTGGAACTGGCCCTTCCCGCAACGCGCAACCCGGCGACCCTATTTAACTGACTTCCACCCACGACCCTGGGACCCTATTTAATGGACTTCCCTGCACTCCCAACACTTTTCTAGGGAGCAGCTTGAGGGCGTGCAGGGAGAGCCTTTAGGGCAGCCGCTGGATGGTGCCTCTTTGCCTCCAAACAGCTGCTCCCGGCCGCGTTGCCCAGAGCGCGGCTCCCGCTCCCGCTCCCCCTCGCCCGGCGCTGCACCCGCGCCTCGGCATCCTCTGCTCCCGGTCGCTCCCGGTCCCCTCTGTTGGGGCAGAGGGGGTTTTTTCCCCCCCTGCCCGAGCACGCGGCCGGTGTTTCATTCATAAAAGCGGCTGCGCGGCGGGCGGGCGGTGCCGGCGGCGGGCGGGGCTGGCGCGGGGCCCGCGGAGCCCCCGCGGGGGCGGCGCGGCCGCAGGAAGCGGCGGCGGCGGGAGCCAATGGGGCCGCCGGGGCTGTTACCGGGCGGGACGGGCAGATCTCGGACGGGGCTCCTTCCTTCGCCCGGTCCCGCCGACACACAAAGGGAGGGACGGGCTGGGGCATCGCCGCCGGTGGCACCGCCGCGCTCGTCACCCCCGCAACCCTCGGGGGCGGCCCCGCGCCCTGTGCCCGCGGTCCCGGGCGCGCTGCCGCCCGCCGCGGGGTGCGCGCTGGGCGGGAGGGACGCCTCCTAAGCCGCGCATCCCGCTCCGGCACGGCGCTCCCGAGGGATGCGGGATGCGGGATGCAGGATGAGCGCTGCTGCTGCCGCTGCCCCGGGGGCTTCCGACGGCGCTTCCTTCCTGCCCGCTCTCCCTCCCTCCCTCCTTCTCTGCCCGCCGCTCCCCTCCCCGCGGCGCCCGCCCGCTGCCGGGGACGCCGCCACTTTCTCATGATGTCATCCCGCCCCCGCCCGGTGCGCGGCCCCGCCGCCGGGAGCGCGGCCCCGCCGCCGGGAGCGCGGCCCCGCCGCCGGGAGCGCGCATTCCTGGCGTGCCGCCCGCCCGCCCGCCGTAATGTCGCGAAGAGCCGCGCAGCACCGGGGGGGGGGGGAGCGCCCCGTCGGGGAAACGACACCCCCTCACCGCCCCCCTTCCCCTCCCACCACACCACCCCCGCGCATCTGGAGATTTGCGCCCAGTTGTTCTGCGCTCCTCGGTGCAAGAAAGACGAGGAAATGCTGGACGGAGTCCAGCGCAGGCCGCGAAGATGATAAGGGGTCTGGAGCATCTCTCTGATGAGGAGAGGCTGCCTGTTTAGTCTGGAGAGGAGAAAACTGGGAGGGGATGTCATTAATGCATATAAATATCTCCGGGCCGGGTGCCAAGAGGATGGTGCCGGGCTCTTTTTAGTGGTGCCCAGCGACAGGACGAGGAGCAGTGGCCATAAACTAAAACACAGGAATTTTCCCTCGAACCCGAGGAAGAACTTCTTTATGTTGCGGGTGGCAAAGCACTGGGACAGGTTGGCCAGAGAGGGTGTGGAGTCTCCCTCTCTGGAGACATTCCAAACGCACCTGGATGCATTCCTGTGTCACCTGCTCCAGGTGACCCTGCCTGGGTGGGGGGGTGGGACTGGGTGGTCTCCAGAGGTCCATTCCAACCCCAGGTGTTCTGCTGTCCCTCACCTCCATCCAGTGCTGACCACAGGGCAGCCATGTGGGGCCTTTGGAATGAGGAATTTGAAGAAGCAAAGCTCACAGAAAGTTTCTCTGGGGGAACCATCACCATGCTGGGGAGAGGCACAAGTCTGGGTGGGAGGGAGGGTGAGAATGGCCAGGGTATCCCGAGGTGAGGAGGTGTCACTGGTGGGACTGACAGATCCAGAGCCAATGGAATTTAGCCCAAGTTTGCCCTGGTTACTGGAGGTAAGGAAATGGAGAGGAGAGGCAAAAGGGCTAAGGGTAGGGGAAATAAAAATAGGGAAATCTTTCTTCATCAAGGGGAAATCTGTTTGGCCATGCCAGAAGTGCGCCAGTGGAAGGAGAGGCAGCAGAGGAAGCCTGGGAGACAGTAACAAGGTGAGTAAACAATGTCCTTAAGCAGCAACATCCTCAAAGTGAAAGTGTTTCAGTGGAAAATATTTTGATTTTGAAAAGAGCAGCTACAGTTTGTGTTTTGCTCAGCTGACAGTATGTTTTGGTAACACACCAGCATGAAAATGACTGACATGGACGCTGGTGTTTGATATGGATTTGTGAGCCATGAAAAAGCACTTCTTAGCCAGCCAGAGCATTGAAACTTAATTTACAAGGTAAAAAAGGCACATTTTCTCCATTCCCCACACTGACACTTGCTCTGTGTAGTATGGCAAGGCAATTTAAAGGCACATTATAAATACTGCTAGAGGTTATGTTGTTGAATTGGCTTTTGTTAGTAGGTTTGGAAGCACAATGTTACTGTTTTTCATTGCTCTTTTCTTCAATACTGCAAACCAAAAAGCACGGGAAGATGATCGGTGGTGACTGTAGGTTCAGATCTGCTCCCACTGGAGTCAGCACTGATTAGGTTGCTGTAACAGGGCAGATTGCTGATGGGATGATGTGCTTGGGGCAGCGGACAGAGTTTACTGGAAGGATCCCAACTCTGTGTTGGTTGTGAGTGGCAAAGCCCTCACCAAATTTCGCAGAGTACCTTGCAGAATTCCCAATAAGTGACAGTAAGTAAGTAAGTATGTATCACATACACTGCAGAAATGCTGTTTCAGGAAAGTCTTAAGGGTCTTCTTCTTATATTTTGCCTCCCTCTGCCATAAAAAGATGCATCAGTAATCATGATCCAGACTCTCAGGTAGGCTGGGCTGGTGGGGTAGCTCCATGGAGGCAGATTTGCTCCCTGGCTCCAGAGAGAAGTGGCTGCAGGGATCAGTGCACATCCCTATGCTCTCTTCTGTGCAGTAAAAAGATGTGATGATAGGAGCTTTTCTGGGGGCTCCCTGGTCTAAATACCAATGAGATCTGGCACGTTTTTTGTCACTGTCTCCACCATCCATCCTCCAGCTCTCCCAGAGTCCATGCAGCCACACACTGCACTTCTCATGTCAGTCCACTGCCCTGTCCACTCTTTTTCCACTTGCCTGAAAGTGGTAAATCTGCTCGCTGCATCTTTGCAGCACACCCTCTGAGTAAAACTGGTCCAAATAACCTCTGGGGCCAGGCTTTTGTGGGTGCTCTGCACTTCTTAACTGCAGTTTGAGTCAGTGGCAGTTCTAGGAGTTGTTTCTTCAGTAAATCAGGCACCTGGCTCCCTTGT